TTGGACATTTTACCATGGGAAGCCCCGCATTTTTAGGTGTGTGGGGTAGTATCGGGTTTGTGCGCAGCCATGGGCGGTGCACAAGCATCGCTGTGCTGCTGCTGGCAGCGCCAGAAGACGCCTACAGAGTTTCCATTTGAACCACCTCGCCGGCCACCACACACTAACGAGCCCGTAGCGACCACTGCTGCAGCCAGCGGAGGAGAGGACGATGAGGAGGTGGAGTTCGAGCTTGGCACGCTCAACACCTTCCTCGAGTATCGACAGGTCTCACGGAACAAAAAGCGCAGCCACAGCATGCCAAGAAGTATGCGACCATGCAGAGACCAGAAAGTCAGTCTTGTGGCGGCAGGCAACATGGAGGAGACTGCTGGCAAATCGGAGCGACTTACTACCCCTACTCTTCCTCCTACTGCAACTCCTCCTGCTGCTGCTTGCAAGGTTGGTCCTGTCCCCGATCGTCCGCCAATCGATGATAGGTTCGAACCTTTCCTCACCCCGGAGATGGTTTCCGCAGAGAGGCGCTGGAAACGCGACGTGCTTGGGCGGCTGGCGTGGCATCGTGTGCCAGCCAGGCCTCATAGCTGCGCGCATACCTGCCCAGAATGCTGCCAGCTGTGGAACAACAGCTGGCGACTGGCAGCAGCTGATCCTGTGAGGGTTCCGGGCCATGCTGACCCCTGCAGGGCTCTGCATATCATGCCCCGGCTTCCCGAGCGTGCGCTGTTGCTTTCGCAATGAGACTCAGCCCATGCTGGGTGGTTAGGCTTGCGGGAAATGCATGGTACTGCCAGCGACTGTTCCTGGTGTGTTCTTCTGATTCTACTGCTTCTACAGCCGTGACATCGCGCTTGCTTTTCTGTGGCAGTCTCACCTGCGCAGCACAGCATTTCCCGCCTGCATCTGTTTCACATTGCATCTGTTTCAATCTGTTGGCTGCAGGAGGAGCTGTTTGCTTTCGTCTCCTCTGGTACAGTTTTGCTTCGGCAGCGTTTCGGTCCGTCGCGTTGTTAGCGACGTCAGGCCAGGGTTGTGGTGCAGTCCCTCGGGTTGCTCTGCCAGAGCTGCGACCCCGCGGCCTCTT